TGCCAGGAATATTTTTAAATAGTTCCTGGAACGAATACATTCCCCATCCCGCCTTGAGCAAGAATATCTCCCTACTGCCTTCAGCAAGGCTTGTCTCAGACCCTCAAGCCATGCTCCCTCAATCCAATCTGCTGGTTTGTGAAGAACAAGTCACCGTTACACAGTATGAGCTACACTCCCAATTTTAAATATTTTTACACACGGTTAGGCAAACTCTAGATGTTTTCTCCCAGTGAAATTCTCTCCTTGTTGGATACTGGAAATTTTGACTTGGAGACAGGTGTTCATCCCCCAGATTTTATATCACTAACTTATCAGGTCCTGCTAGAGTGCCAAATCAGTTATTGATAGACAATCCTGAATTCAGGCTAGTCAAGAGCCAGTATGTTTGGAAGAGGTATTTTTATATGCTTGGCAAAATGACAACCTTTCCTCCCTCCCCAAAACTGTGGCACAGCAGTGAGCACTCCATCTGGTCACAGAACAGGGAGAACAGAGAACAACTGATGTCAATAGTACAGCCAAGGGTAACTTCTTCCTGGAAAATTACAATCCCCTCTTAAGATCTGGTGTAGCCGAATCCCAACCTGTTTTTGCCTAAAACACCTATTTTTCCTCTGCCTTTTATATAAAAAGATACTGATATTACTCAAATGTTTTCCACTGGGCTTATAATAAAAAGTACCTTTTACAATCAGAAAGTCCCAACCAAGTTTCAAGTTCAAAAGTTTACTGCTGTTCAGTTTAAAATTTCAGAAAGCTCTTGGAACCGTCTTTCAGCTTCAATGATTTATCACATGCTTGGAAGACCTAAATCTTAATACAGTTTACTGATGCCTTTTAACATAGTTACCACATTTAACCAAGACGATACCGAAAAAAAGCACATTTGGTCAGTAACCACACTGAGTTTTACACAAAAATATGGCCATGTAGCAAGTATTTACATAAACCTTAGTGTAATTTAACATTTTTCAAATGCTATTCTGTGTATGCATCAGGTGACTGATAAGAGATATTATCCATGCTCTAGGAAGCTTACAAGCAAAAACCTGTAATCCTGTTGTCAACATACAAATTTTACATGAAAATATCAGGCTATAGGAGGGTGAGATGAAAAAAAGGTAAGAGCAGCAGCAGATTCAGAAATGTTTCTGAACTTCTTGAAAATTTTGAATGTAACTTCTTAAATGTACAATTAAAACATTTGTCCAAATAACAAGGGGGGGGGGGGGGGGGGGG